TCAACCCGAATCAACTGTTGGTGGAAGCACTACCCTTTCGTGATTTTGATCCATGATTCTACACGCATACTCGGAATTTGGACAAAAAGGATTAATCTGAATATCATATATAATATGGATAGATTATTCTATTTAATTTTTTTTCTACCTACCTTTATTTATTACTTTCCAATATAGTTATATTAAAAATCTAAATTACGTTTATTATTTCTCTCTCCTATTAAAGTTATGATTTAATAATTTTGGAAACTGATAAGCAAAAAAAAATAGATAAAATAATCTATTCTCATATAATAAACTGTTAGAGTACAGTTTCATAATAAATGAAAATGTCATTTATGTAATTAAGGAGAGCTTTTTTGCGCTCCGAAATACTATGCTTTCTATTAAAAATTAAAAATAAGAGGGATTGAAAAAAATTATGAGAAAAAAGAGGAATTAAATGAAATCATATTTTTTTTCATTTTGAAAAAAAGGACCTTCCTTAAAATTTTCTCGTAATTAAGAACTAGAATATAACCCCTACGAAGCCAGACAATCTGATGCTATCAATCAAAAAAATCATGGCAAGTGTCAGATATCAGATAAGTATTGGTCCCCATAATACGAAAATTAATTCCGTTGTCTCTTTCACTCTCTTTCTTTTTTCTTTCTCTCTATCGGTCTCACGGGAGCACACCGTGCCCCAAATATTCGCTCCCATAATACGGCCTAATTTTCTACCACGTGTTCCAATTGATTCTCTATCCATTATCATCATGCACATTTCTATGAGCAGATTTGAATGAAAAAAAAGGAAACGACACAATAACAGAAGAAGAGAACCAACCCAAATCAAGGGATAAGCATATACGTTGTAGATTATGCGATGTGGCCTCATCTACATCAATGAGCCATTTGTACTTCCTGAGTTCCTGTGGACCTGTCTAGCATAACAAAAATCCTCCCTAACTGTTTTGGAGACTATTATATTACCATAGTCATCAATATTTGTTAACTTTGCGCTACTTGTATCGTCTCTCCGCTTAAAGAATCAAAATTATCTCTATATTTTAACATGAAACTTTTAACTGTGTTTTATTTTCTCACTCGCACAACTTTTTAAAAAGTCACCTATTTTAGAATTATTGCAAGTCAAACACGCTTAATTATGGAGTTCTTCTGTTCTGAGCTATCGAAAAGTAGATGTATCTTGTTAGTATAGGTAATACCAATTAATTCTTATAAGCTATCCCAAATTGTGCAGTCTCATACAAGCACAGTTTTTGAAATCCCGTGTTAATTTGATTCATTCATGTAACCCCGCTGAAAGTCGTCAGGAGCCGCTCTTTGTCCATACCTTTTCGCAAATCACTCTCCACACTCGTTAGCGTCCGGGATGTTACACTAATAATAAGAAATTACTTTAAAATAAAAGATTTAAGTTATTTCAAAGGAGTTAGCTGCTCTGGTACTCAAATTAAATATAACCAGTTTTTAAATAATTAAATTTAAAAACAATTATATATATATATATATAACTGATTGTGCTTTAAAAGTGCTATAATACTTATTAAAAAACCTCTTTTAAAGTGAGCATGTAAAATAATACCTATTTTTAGATTTTAATAAATTAAAAATAGATATAATCTTAATTTTTTATTTCGGCGAAGACATGAGTTTGGATCCCAATTGTTAATGGGCGAACTTTATTAATGATTTTTATCAAAAAAATTCAGAGACCGTGGACAGTGACAGAGTCAAGCTCCAATTTGAACACAAACTAAGAAATTGTACGTGTATTTATTTTTTTTAATTTTAGTTAGTTCATGTCATAATATATTTAAAGAGATATATTTTTCTTATGTTGTAGGAAAAAAATTACCTTATGTTGTAGAAATAAAAGTATAAATGAGACCCACAGGTAAGAGGAGAGAGAGAAAAGAGTGGTGGGACCTAACTTCTTTTTGTGAGTGTAGGAGAGTTGATTGTCTCATATAAAATGAGATAAACATAATCCATATTTAAATTATATAGCATCTCAGAACTAAGAAGAGTTATATATATAGCCTGATGTGGATTGGGTCTGACTTAATATTTCGAGGGATTAATGAGAGTCTTTTTTAAATTTATGAGGGACTACAATTTTAACTAAATGTGTTCATTTTGAATTTTTTAGGGACCATGAATAACTTTTTTATTTGCTAAGGATTAAAACGGGTATCGTGAAATTTGCTAAAGACCAAAAAAGATATTTACTCTATACATTAAATTATCAAAATGTTTTATTTATTAATTAGATATTCTCTGATCTCTCGATAGTAATAAACAAATTATATGATATATATATATATATATATATATATATATATATATATATATTTAAAATTCGAAAAATAGAAATAAATAAAAAATATAAATTATGTGCTCTGCACCACACTCCAGACTTGTGTGGTGAAGCATGAGCATAACGTGGTGATTTTTATATTGACAGCTCATGCGAGCAAAACGCGCTCATTATTTTAGATTTTTTTTAGTACTCTCTCTGACAACTAGAATTATTATTATTGTACCTTTTGTCACTTCGTTTTTCTCAGGATTTTCAATTTTACGTGAAGTCTCGCTGCCAAACAGCATTATTGTACACTTTCTCTTGTCATGTCCTCGTGCATGACCAAAACGAGGTCATTATTTTTCAATTTTCTTAAAAAATAGTGACTAGCATTACCGTGAACTTTGCCACAAAGAACCAAATTCTACATAAAAAAAAGGGAAAAAATAATGTTTTTACACAAACTTATATCATTTTAACAATTTTTAATTATGTATTTTTAAAAATGTATAATAATATTAAAATTATATTTTGTTAATTTCTACATTAGCAAACAATTTTTGAAGAAATAAAAAATATAACTTTAATATTATAACTATATATTTTCAAAAATGCATAATTAAAATTGTTAAAAGAACAAAACTTGTGTTCTTTCAAAGGACATATAAAATCCTAAAAAATAATACATCGTATGGGGGACTTAAACTAATTTCTTTTTTTTTTTTTAAAAGTGAAAGGAACCATTTTTTAAAATTGCTTTTTCTGATTACCAAAAAGAAAGTTGCTTTTTCTAATATATAAGAAAATATTAAAAATACCTATCTTATAATTTTATTTAACTAAAAAAATTTAAATATATTTTTATTCCAATTTTTAATTAAAAAAACACAAGAATACAGATCTATATCCCCTTATTTATTTGAATATACTATTTCATTCTGATTACTATTTTTTAAGATTACTATAAAAAAAAAACAATTATATACGATTTAGTTGTTGGGCTGTCACTTGGACAATATGATTCAAATAGCTTTAACAAATACAAAAACAAAGATGCGAAATATGAAACAAGGATAATAGGATTCACATTTTCTGGTAGCCTCCACTTCCTTCGGAACCAAAATAAGAGGACAGGAGAGATTTGTTTCAAAAGCAGAGAATAACGTCATTTTTTTTATTTTAGAAAGAAATAATATTCACAATAAAAATTAATAATCGAGCCACGCCAAATTTAAAAAAACATTAACTTGAATCAAATTGAGTTCAGCTAATTTATTAATTTAAGTTGAAACTGAAACCGATTTAATTTCTACCCTTGCCACTGGTTGAATGCATCACTTTCCTATTTGCAAAGTAATTCTCTCTTATTATAATTTATCATAGGTACTTAAATCATTATTCAATATACATAACATTGCGTATGTCTTGTTAAAAATGCACATATCTAGTACATGTCAAATAATAAGTTGAATGGCTAAGTGGTGAAATCGATTACATGACTATCCAAGAATTTTTCCTTTCTAAATGAATTGAAAAACCGACCATGTTCACACAAGCATATTACTAACACGAACATCACTATCATAGAGCATAAATGGCTATATATATAATATTTAAAAAACCCACTCATAGATAAAATGAACACAATTGAGATCAAAGAAATATTAAAATCAAATTAACTCAGCTAATTTTGAGCCTATAGACTATCTTGTTTTGGGCTAGACTAAATTTAACTGAATTAAGTCGGGTTAAAATTATCCATTTCAAATTTTAAAGCCCAACTCATTGTCGAGTTATTCGGGTTTGGCTATTGGGCTAAAACATGTTTTATCACTCGTGTGTTTATAAGATTTCATTATTAATTTTAGTATTTTCTTTTAGAAAATAAAAATAAAAAACATATGGATATGGATAATTGAATGCTTAAATTTACAAAAATCACTCTAGCTCAAGACAAATTTTTTTTTTTTTTTTGATAACATAAGACAATTTTATCTATGCAACATAAGAAACCAATTTTTTTATTTTTCTCACTTTTTAGTGGATCTTATTTTTCTATTTTTTTTGTTATATGATACAATGTAATTCACTTTTCTATGTGTTATATGACACATATTATCTCATTTAACATCAAAAATATATTCCCCGTAAATTTATACTAACTTTAAAGAAGAATTACTTTTATGATATAATTTATTTTTACAAATTTAATTTTTGAATAAATTTTATTGGAAAGGGACCTTTTTCTAACCACAAAAAGGTAGGGCAGTTTTACTGAGTTGTATTATTTTTCTTCAGAAATGCTAAGTTAAATTTCCTAATTCTTTTTATACATTTTTTATTTAAAAAATAGTTTTACTTTTAAACATAAACAAAAAACAAATAAACAACAGATAAATTATATTTACAAATTTTTTATTTATAAATTACATTACATACCACGGATAATAAGTATGTACCAACGTAATAAATAATTAATTTATAAGAATTTATAAATAAAAAATTTGTATCCCAATAAAAAAACTTTAATAGGCGAAATTTCTGAAGTGAACAAGGACAGACAATTCATTAAAATCACAAAAGAGAAAACAACGTCGTGTAATCTCTTTTAAGTGACTTGACTTCACAAACATACACCACAACGGTTAAAGAAACATAACTAGTGACGATAGGTTCAGAGTCTCCATATCTTATTTAAGAAAACAGGCTATGGAGCTTTAACTAGTGTACGTAGTACATTGGATCAGTCAGGCAATGTAGTACATTGGATTAGGCAGCTTAAAGTTTCTGTCTCCTTTGTGTTTTCCCAGGAGATCGCTCCATTGGTCTCCTGAATTTCCAATGATTCTATATCCTTCTTCCACCAGCTTCTTTCTCTGCTCTGTTTTGTATGCACGTTTTGTTGGATATATACCATTATCTCTGCGTCAAAATAATTATTTGTTGTTATGAGACATGTTTTTTTCGTGTTGACGGAGATGGAGATAGATTATCTCATGTTAGTGACACATAATTATAAGAGAGACTCATAAATAATTAAAAAAATAAAAAATAAAAGTGGAATCCTCCTAGAAATTTGATTTAACCCATATTAAAAGAGATAAATATAAGGGTTTTATTAATCTCCTTCCACATAAGATAGTTATCTTATGTGGTAGAGAGAAAATGAATGGGTCCCACCATTACAAGAAAAAAAAAAAGTGCGATGCAAAAATCGAAGTGAGAGAAAATGAGATAAGTTACCTCATGTAAAAGGAGAGTAATATTTTCCTAAATATAATTCTTGTTTTTATATAAGGAAAACTTTTTTATTTGAACCTTCAAAACATATGTCCTATCTCATTCAAGCCTTTTGTCCCATCGTGTCTCGTCAATCACACCAATAACAGAGCGGATTTAATTTTTGTACGGCCTCAATAATTTTTGCTAAAACCATGATCGTAGAATTTTTTGAAATTAGAATCCAAACCTTAATGTTTTTAATCATATTAGTTTAGTTTAAAATATGTTTTTAATCATTTTTTAGTTATTACATATGTATCATCAATTTAACGACATTTAATAAGTTATTATGAAATTTTAGATGATGTGATATAAATTATTAATTATATCATTGATACAAACCATTTTGATAATTCTACATTTTTTTAATGCAATATGAAGTAGTTAAATTATTAATATGGAATTTTTATAAATCTTTACTTTATTATGAGTTTTCTAATTAACAATAATTGTGGAAATACTATTTTAAATTTTTTAAAAATAATTAACAACTCTCCCCCGTATACTGAGTTTTATTTTTTTTTAAATAGTATGAAAAGATAAATGCTAATTTTTTTTCACGCTTAAGTGGGCTAATTAGTTCATCGTAAGATATTTGTTGACGTTAAACTTAAGTGATTTAGGAGACGTTTGATAAGCGCTATTTTTAAGGATTTCTGAGAAAATAAGTTTTTAAAATTTTAAATTTTTGAATAATATCATAAACTGTAAAAATTATATTTTTAAAAAAATTTGACCTTTACCAAAGGTAATAGATCTTTAGAGTAATCTTCTTAGTTAGATTATTATTATTTTTAATAAATATGATGCCTAGCTATTGTTATTTTATTGAAGGGCTTAAAGTATGATCTGTATATAAATAATCTTATAACGATAAAAAAAAAATTAAAAAATTTATTACCTGACAATTAACTTTTCCCATGTATAGTATCCAACTTTCTTCAAGTTCTCGGCTGTTATTTTCTCATGACGCGCTGATCTTTCAGTTAAGAACACAATCTTGACGCCAAGTGACAACAGTTTATTATACAGCTTAATAGTCTCCGGCAGTGCTGGTGCTATGCCGAGTTCAAGCCATTCATCAAACGCCGTATGGTTGAATACTTCCGCCCTACCACCAAAAAAAATATTAAATTAAATTTTTACGTAAAATAAATAAAGAATAATGAACAAGATTGTAAAAGGTCCATAATTAAAACACAGAGAGAGAGATACAAGCATTTTAAGCACAAAAATTTGTACCACAGCAAATTAAATTTATGTTGTTCCACTTATATAATACTCATTAAATTTATTTTCAACTTAATATATATTTTTATTACCATTAATTTATATTTAGACCGCTGATATTTCTCACATATTGATAAATGTGTATAAATAGCATTGTTAGATTTCAAATATTGAAAAACATTGCTAACCCGCTCGAGACTATATACCAAAAATAGTTGAACATAGATGATAAATAAGTATGCATATACCTAAAAGTGAAAAACAAGTATGCATATATGAAAGGAAAGAGCATATAAATAGTACCCATATCCGTGGTCTTCATAATAGGGAAGATTGGAGAGTGTAGTCTCATCTACGTCAAAAATCCAAATGTCATTTGAAGTGATTTCGAGGTCCCTAGCGTAAAAAAAACCTTCACGGTTAACAGTTTTGGAATCTGATCTATATTGTTCACTTTTCATGTATTTTCCTACATGTGCTTCGCATTCTAGTGGAATAGTTTTCCAGTCAACGAAGTTGTGTGCTTCCACACCAACCCTCCAACTTGCGCACGATACTTCAGGAGCGTAGTGTTCACCTAAAGCAGTTTTCAATCGAAGAGGGAAAGTTTGGAAGTTTGCAGCATGGCAAGTTGCTAAAATTGTAGCGAGGAAGAAAATAACTAGCTTCATTCTCTTCACTAGATTGATTCACTACTGCTTCTATCTAGCACAAGATACTCTTGCAACGGGGTTTGCTTCTTTAAATAGACGGACAACGAAATTAATTTGCACTTTTAAAAAAAAAATTAATATATAAAATAATGATATTATCTAAACATGTAATATCTCTTGAAAAAGAAACGTGAAACTTGTGGATGTAAGAGGTTGGTGCGTGAGCTGTCGCATTGTACAAAGTAAATTATATTCAGGGTTTGCATTTGTCATTTAACATGACACAATAAACTTTTCTACACACACTATATTTAGTGGGGTTCACAAAAAAAAAAAAAAATTACGGCACGCAAAACGAATCTCTATAACATTACATAATCATTTTTCCTACAAGATAATTCTTATAAAACTCTTATATTTATGGCCCTTCAAAAGTATATAAAACCTTAAAAGTACGGGGTTAGCTTTGGAATTTCACTTAAAAAGAGAGTATTGTAGAAAAAGTTACAAATTGAGGACTGAGGGTAGAGAAAATAGCAAAAGGGTGGCCCACGTTAAGTACTGGTAGCTCATTTGTATGGTTTATATTACTTTTAAATTATACGAGAGTAATGTCATTTGCTACGGATCCATTAATTTTTGTGTTTTTTTTAATAATTAGTAGAGTTTATCATATAATTGTATCTACCAAATGAAATAATATATTTTCTATTAAATGAGAGTAATATAACTCCACATTTATTGACTTATTAAAGTTTTTTATATAGGATATGTTCCAGATGGCCCAACAATACAGCAGTCCAAAGGTCTAAATCCAATCTCAACCCCCTATCCACGTCAGCCCTACCAAATGTCAGCCCCCAACCCGCTACGCAACCAGTGTTTAAATACCCGGTCCGGTCATCGACCCGGCCGAGATCAGAGGTCATGGGGTCACGGGTTCAACCGGGGGGTCACTACGCTGACCCGGTTTTATATATTAAAAAAATATAAATATATATATATCTTATATGAAAATATTAAAAAACAAACCAACAATCATCAAAAATTCAAAATATACTTAACATAATTCACCAATTACAACCACAAGTCAATATTACACAACCTAATTAAAGTATCAAGATACAAAAGTACAAAACTCATATTCAAATTGGGTCACTACGCTGACCCGATTCTGTCTCTTTTGAAAAGATCCCTAACAAAGGAAAATTTAAAGGAAGTAAGAATGAGTTTTTATTTTCCATCGACGATCGTAAGGTTTTCATTTGAATAGATAAAATTCTTACCTTTTCTAGAAGATTCATGGCAGCGAAGTGAAGATTGAAGACGTCTAGGTCACTAGGAGAGAAGAAAACGATTAGATTTTTAGCTTTACAAGCATTTTTATTTTATTTTTTAATAAAACGATGTTGTTTCGTGGAATTTAAAAAAAAAAAAAAATATGCAGTGATCCCCTTTGACCTCTCTGACCCAGGAGTCACTGAAACACGGTCGGGTTTTAGGGGTCGGAGGGGTCGATATGCATATAGGGTCCAACTTGTGACTCCAACCCTCAGAGGGGAGGGGTCAAGGTTGACCCGGGTCAACCCGGGGGGTGGGGTGGGGTTTTAAAACACTGAACGCAACGACACTTCCTAGAGAAAACACCAAAATATCCTGTCTTAGCCTCTTAGGACCCCAACCCCCAAAGGTGAGCATCCAGATACCATAAGAGGAAACTGCCCTTTGTCGCAAGCTGACATCGCCAGGCACAGTGGGCGCATCGCTGCTATCATAGCAGCGCCTGCCACATCCAGCAGCGTCTGCCACCCTTAACATATCCTAAGGAGGGTTGACCCTCTCCTCACCAACCCACACAAGGTTCACATCACCTTCCCCTATAAATAAGCCCCCAGGGACACACCAAGGGGTATCTTATGTATTGTTAGGTGGTGTTTGATTGAGGGTTTTTACAAATTTCCCTATGCAAAGGAAACAAGCAATCCCCAAAGCACTTGTTTGGTTCAACAGATTCACTTCAATTCGCCAGTCATCCTATTTGCATAGCATTTTCAATTTGGTCTTGAATGCTAGCTTTTTTCACTGTTTAGAAAGACATGTTGATGGTGGTTTTATGAGGATAGCCAGCTAAATCATTTTTTCATAATTTCTTCCATACCATTATACCCTCTTGATCTGAAAGAGAAATTGGAAGCTTTCTCCCACACGTTGCAGAGGAAGCCTGAAAGAGAAATTGGTGTAGACACACTGCACAACAATCACCTTCAGTTTCCTTCCCCACATCTACATGATGAATATATCTATAACTGTTATACAGTTTATGCAACCTTTGAATTGCATATTTTTTAAAGTAGTGCGGGACAAAAACAATGGTTGTAAAGAAGATGAGGATGGTAGATGATGACAAAAATAGTTCTAGCCATTTAGCAAGTAGAGGATGACGAAACAGTAATATAGATGATGGAAATATTTGTTGGATGACAAATGGCACGATCAGTGGCCACTTGTACTCATAATAGATATTTGTATTGGGGTTAAATTTGTAATTTCATATTATTTACCCATCCAAATTTTACCTCAAACCAAACATAGACTTTATAAATCTTACCTAATTTGTCTAGTAAATTTTTTTCTAACCAAACAACTTTTTTTACATTTTCCTACCAAACTCACTTTCCAACCATTTCTCTATCAATTACATTTCCCTAGTATTCAAAAAAAATCTCTTCAACCAAACGCCCCCTTATGCTGCCCTTTTATATTGAGTCACACATACACACACCTAACCCCATTGTTGATTGTTAGCTTCATACTTGGAATAGTGTCTCTTAGCTTGGTCTCTACCTGTGTTAAGGGTATCACTCATACAATAACTTCATCCCTTAAGAAAACATAGTGAGCTTATAGATTCTAACAGTAGAGGATCTTTCTCTCTCGATGATGATGTTCAAACTACATTTTATCTCGTTGATGTAGTTAATTTTTCGCCTATCAAATCTTGATTTTGATCGATTATTCTACATGCATGCTCTGAATTTTAAAGACATACACGATTAATCTGAATATAATCATATACTAAACAAATAGAATGCACTTTCGTAATAATGAAAATGTCATTTAGGTAATTAAGAACTAGCATATCTCAGAGAATCCGATGCAATCAAAATATCTTGACAAGTGTCAGAAAAAAATTGGTCCCCAGAATACGGAACCAATGTCGACCGCGTTTCCAATTGATTCTCTATCTGTTTTCCTCGTAAACATTTCTCTGAGCAGATTTGAATGAAAACGTGGCATGGAAAAAAAAGAAAACACGTAACGAATAAATATTTTTGGTGCTATTCTTGCATAATTGATTCAGTACATTTTATTACTGAGAGCATTACATATTAATTAAAGTTTTTTTTTCTTTACTAAATTTTTTTTCTCTCCTATAATATGTAATGCTTTTATTAATGAAATGTACTGAATATTGACACAACAGTAGCACCAAAATTTTTTTCTACGGTAACATAAGAAGAGAACCGACCCAAATCCAAAGCTATGCATATATGTTGTAGAATGTAAATTATGCATTCTGGCCTCATATACATCAATGAGCCATTTGTATTTCCTGTTTCTTATATAGATATTTTAAGGATTTTCATTTTATCGTTTAACATAACACAACAAACTTCTCTACACTCACAACGTTTTGTGGGGCTCACAATTTTTAAAACAAAAAATAAATAAAAAACTAAAGCACGTAAAATGAATCTCTATAACATTACACGATCATTTTTCCTACAACATAACTCTTATAAAACCCATATTTTAATCAGTTTGAGATTAATTAGACTTAACACGGATATCAAAATTAATATTTTAATTTTTTTCAAAAATGATATTGAAAAGGATCAAAAATATACTCTCACCTCTATTCTAAAAAATAACCCATAAATCAGAAACATAAATTGATATAAATAAAAAAATGTTATTTTAAATTTTTTCCAACACAATATTTATTATATTTATAAAGTAAAATATATTATCAAGATTATGAGGCCTAATTTAATCTTTTAGGAGAAAAAATCAACTCATAGTCTCTTTAAAATTTAAAATAGACCAATGTTAGTCCTTTTGAGCACTAACGTGAGTTTTCTTTCAATTTTAGAAGAATCACAATTTGAATTAATTGAATATATATTTAATCTCAAAATGATCACAAGTCTTTTTTTTTTAAGGAATTAAATGAATCCCATAATTTCTGTTGAAGATTTAAAAAATACTTTACTCATAATATATTTTGTATTTGTTAAATATTTCAAGTTTAAATCCCAAATATAGATAAAATAATTTTGAGAGAATCATTAAGCAAAATAATCCGATAATCGATGACTATCCAGAGTCCTCAATAAAAAAGAGAGTTTAATTTAATTTCTTAAAACAAAAAAATCAACTTGTGATTTCTCTAAAATTCAAAATAGTCTTATGTTAATTATTTTATGAAACTAACGTGAGTTTTCTTTCAATTTTAGAGGAATCGTGATTTTGACTAATTGGAATATGTTTAATTTTAAAAAGACCATAAGTCAATTTTTTTTTTCTAAGGAATTAAAATGGGTCTCTTAAGGGGACGTTTGGGTAGAGGAGGAAAAAATTTTTATCCGAGACTCTCAATTATAAAAAATATGATAAAAACATTCATTTACGATAATATCTGTAAATTAAAAATTTTTAAAAATTCAGTTTCCAAGGAATCCTGAAAAAATAACGACTACCAAACACTCCCTAATTTTATTGGAGGATTCAAAAAAATACTTTACTCATAGTCTTGATGACCCTTGATATATAAAATAAGGAAAAGAATCTATTTATAAATTTTTTTTTGCAAATTTTGACAAATTACACTAAATATTTTCAAAAATACATAATATAATATAATGCACTTCTAAAAACACATAATATAATTTATAAATAAAAAATTTGTAAATATAATTTTTTTGATAAAATAATAATATTATGTGAACGCATAATATCCCTTGAAAAAAGAAACGTGAAACTTGTG